CTGCTCTCCCCCCCTCCCCCTCTCCCGAGAAGTATTGTTTTGACGTGGTCAAACCGCTCTGCCAGGTTCATCCTCCTTGTGCGCCAGCGTCTGCAGCAGCGAGCACACGATGATGGCGCCCCGCGTTGATCATGGGTTGTGTGCTTCTTGTTGTGGTCGAGCACCAGCTCGTTGAACATGCGTCCGCTGGGCTCCTGGCCGACGTACTGGTGGACCATGTCCTCCCCCAGCTCGTCCAGCACCAGGCCGTACGTCAGCGGCTTACTGCCGGTTGGGGGGGGGGGAGGGGGAGATAACGTCAGCGGCTTACCGTGGGAGGGGGAGGGTAACATCAGCGGCCAACTGCCGGGGAGAAAAGGGATAATAGCTGGAACGGCTAGCTAGCTTACGCCAACGTACTCTTCCGTCAGCGTTCTGGTGAGGAAATAGAACGAGGCAATACAGCTCGGATGAGACAGATATCGCTAAAATAGCACGACGTAGACAGGCCTAACGGACACTGAAAGCCGGCGCGACATGCGAGATATACATGTATGTATATCTCGTATGTATATATGTATGTATATATGTATGTACGTAGTGTTTACTGGGCGTGTGGGCAAATGGAGCAGAGGCACGTTTTCCGGCTACGTGGGCACTGAGAATAAAGCAGCACAGAATACATGCGTCACTGTGTGTCAATAAATGTCCTACGATCGAACGCCTGTCCTTGGGTAATAACATCGCGTTGTGAAACGATATATCATAGTGAGTGATTCAGTCAGACGGGTATTAGCAGACAGTGCAATATAGCCGCTGGTATCTAATGCACCAGTCGACGACCGGCCAGCGCCCCACACCACATCAGATCGACCGATCTTCCACTTGGTGAGCTACCAACTGACCACCTACGGATGAACCAACAGTCGCCTACCCACCCCACCCGATCAACTTACAACTGGCTACCTCTGGCCACCTGAATACAAACTGTCTTCTCTGACGCCGACTGTTGGCTTTTTGTTTGTTTGTTTTGTTGGGTTAGGTCCTTTCCGTCTGACAAGACCATTTCAGAGCCGGAGGGATGATAGGAATTCGGGGGAGACATTGGTCTAGGTAAGCACCCTAGGGAGTCACCGGGGCTGAGCCCGTCCGAATGGACAGGCCGACCAGCCCCACAAGCACTCTCTGCACCCGGCTACAGGTGTGCTCCCTCGGGAGCTGCGGTGCCGCTCCAAGCGAGCAGCCCGCATGAGATAAAGGTGCCAGTCCAGCCTGGAGGGGGGCTGCGGCGTGGAGGAGAAGGATTTGAATGTCCTGAGGATGGAGCCGACGGACGGGGTGTGTGCACGGTGAACTACCCACCTGATGGATTGCACGGTGAACGGCACGGTCACGTCCCCGATGCAGTAGCGCTGGCCGTCCACGGTGCACACCGACACGCCCCAGAAGTTGGGGTCGTACCGCGCCAGCTGCGGGATGTACGACGCCACCTGACGGCACCGAGAGAAACTAACAGTCACCACACGGCCTGAGGGCTGTTCACGGACCCTGTGTGCGGTCGGACCGCACACAGCCTCGAAGCTCCGCCCACTGCGTCCCTACGTCAGCCTTCCGTCACCGCACACAGCGATCGCTGTGGCCGGTCGGGACTGGCCACAGCGGACCGTCCACCGCACGCAGCCGTGACGTCAGAACCGCCTACCCATCCCCTACCCCCACGCCTGCTGGACGCACCGCACACAGCGCACGCAGCAGTGTGCGGTGCCCGTGAACACCCCTCAGAGGACTGGGGCGACAGCTGGCGGCTCCATCAGCAACTAGCAGAGACCGCCGGGACAGAGGTGGCACCTAGCGGGATCGGCAGAAACTATGGCGACCCACACTAGCAAGAGTGATGTAGAAATACACAGGGCTTAACCAGGAATCAGGATAAGACTGGGTGCATATGAGCGAACGAGATCAATCATATGTTGAGCACAGAAGGTAAACTGGGAAAAAGCTTAGCAATTGGGACGGTTCTTAGTGCACATTACGATACTTTCTCGGACGAAAAAATAAAACTACGCATGTTTAGCGCATTTAATGATATTGTTAAGGATCATGGGGTACAGCCCAAAGTCACCCACCGGACGAAGACAATTACAACTCAGGGTGGGTTCGCCGCAATCGTGGGAAGATCTCACAACACAAATGGAAACAATATCTGTGCTAATCGTACCTACACAAGACCGCATGTGACATGAAAATTACAGCAAACTCATCTAGTGAAATTCCGTTTCTAAGGACAAGTTCTTACCAATGAGTCTCAGCAGTGGCCTCCCAAGATTGACATGCAAAGACGAGGAAGAAGCTTCACTCGTCTTTCATTTCAGATCGGACTACTACCACTACTTGCACAAACATAGAAACATGACAGAAACAATGCACACTCACAGCGATGGCTGTCTGCTCTGGTGCTAGTTGCCAAGGACAATACGATCTACTTCTTTTTTGAGTGAGACAAAACGAAACTACAGTCAACAAACCGAGGACTAATTCAGTGATACACCTGCACCCACATATCCTGAACCCGCCGCCTCTTCCACCTATCAGTAGGACTGGTTCGGCATCATCTTCACCCGTGACCCGTCACAGTAGGCTGTGAAATATTGCTCTCACGACATAAACTCGACTCAGTTCAGACACCTGGCGTACCATACTCGGCCTAATAACAAACTGACCCAAGCGCAGAGTGATTTTAGGCTTTAATTTCATAAACGGAGGAGCACCATCATTTCGGCGATATGTGCGCGGAGAGTCTCAAAAACTTGACAAGTCTATTTATCAATAAACGAATGCCCACCCGAAGTGTTAGTTCGGAGCACTCCGACCGTTATATAACCTAGGCTCTTTAAATAATTACGGCGAAGTTCATTTTCGCAGCTATTTTTAATGCACCGCAGTCCAATGTCCAATCAACCAGAGCCCTCGTTGCACAAAAGTTGCTCCACAACTTGTGGAATATTCTAAGAGTTCCCGTCGGTAGTTAGAAATGAGTCTCCCAGCGATAACTCGGTCCGATTCCCCTCCCGGTGGTCCAGTTTTCTCCACCTCAGACCGACCACAACGGCCGCAGCATGGGCGGCTTTCCCGGCCGTCAGCAGCGAGGTGTAAACTTCTCCACGTCCCGCTCCCGGTCTCCTCTACTCTATGTATATTCAGAGAGGGTTCGGCCACGCTCCACACCACCCACCCCTCGGCCTCCTGGCAGAGGCGTATCGCCGCCCGCCATCAGCTCCTCCCCGCCGGAGAGAGGCAGCCCGTCGGCCCACTTCGAGAACGGGCGCGCCGCCGCCGGCAGCTGGCGACGATAGAGAGCAGAGACCTGCTGAGAGCAGCGGCCGCAGCAGGGAGGTGGGAAATCGAAATAGATTCTACCAAATGTGACAAAACAGCCCAGCTCAATTTACAGAGAAAGCAATGGACATTAGAAATTTGGTGGAAAGTCCCAGGGCATCGAAACGGTTAAGTAGTTTTGTGCTATGAATGCATTAGTCCATAAGTTATCATACCAAAAGGAAATGGAAATAAGTCAGCATTAGATACGACATAATAATATTAGGCACACCAAATAACTGTAGTAAGCAGCATACATGCAAAAGTATGCATAGCTACCACCATATGGGGTTATGGGTTATGTTAACACGACAAGAGTAGGAGTCGTCACGCGAACGGCAAATCAGACTGAGTTTCGGAAAAAAATCGTAACATGTTGGCTCTGAAAAGAAATAATAAAACTACAGGGACACACCACTTACATGCGCAAATCACACAAAAATTACTGACAAATAGCCAAATACCTTTTCGGAGAACTGATTGGACCTCCACAAAACTCCCACTATAACTGGTCTAAAGGTGTCACAACAAATGTCATGCTGTTGGGGAGCTCTACGTCGCCTTCTATGGCTTCAGCGGCTCCTGCCACGGCAGGTGACGGCCGCTCAATGACCTGAATGTCCACACCCGTGCCCACCGGATACCTATCACAGACATAACTGAGACGTGCCAGACTACAGTGTTATTCCGTGACTACGGTTATCCAGCGCGGCACGCCACTGATTGTGAGTGTAGTCTTCACTCACCTCCCCCTCCTGAAGAAGCCAGCGGGACGGAGCACGAACGGTTAATATCAACGGGTTGTGACAGAAAGGAGACTGCATACAGCTGGCATGGCACAGCTTGCATGAAAGCGAACACATGCAGCCCCGGTAACAAAGCCTCTGTACCCATATAGCCCCTGCGCAGAGTAACCCAGAAAGCGAGAGCAAAATGACACTGAAAGACAAAAAGAGAGGAGCTCACACGAAAAGATGGTTGTTTTACAAGTCCAGAAAAATCTCGTAAGTCCATAAATCCCTTGTCGATTTAACCCAGCCGAATGTTCCTAGAATCTAACATTTACTGAAAACGAATTGAATGAAAGGCATCTAAGACGTTGTATTGAACTCATACCGTGATGATAAATCCGGAAAACCACTCCGCACCACCCTCCCGCCGCGGCGACGCCCACCTTTCCGCCGGCGGAGGACTTGCAGTGCCAGTAGATGGCCTCGATATCCCGGCAGAAGTTGGTAAAGTCGGGAATCACAAACCGCTGGCGCATCGCACGAGAGATCAGGTGGATGTTGCTCGTCACCAGACTGGAAAACAGATCCATCAGGTGTCGAAACATGAACATCGAAAGCAATCGTTATCGATAAGTAGTGACGACTGACGATGGTTAGGGCTGGTGATCGCCGCAACAAAAGTTTTATGACGCACATAAAATTGATGAGGGTGGTAATTTCTCCGATAAAGACACAGAGAGGCAGGAGCCTAGGCAATAACTCACAGCGCCTGCGGGAGTCAGACTGAGCCGAGTCTGAAGGTGCCGGGCAGGTCTACCCCCCCCCCCCCCGACCGTCTAGGCGTCTACAGGCGGGAAGCCCCCCCCCCCAATGACCGTCTAAAGGTGCCCCCCCCCCTCCACTGACCGTCTAAAGGTGAGCCCCCCTCCCCCCCACTGACCGTCTAAAGGTGAGCCCCCCTCCCCCCCCACTGACCGTCTAGAGATGCCCCCCCCCCCCCCCACTAACCGTCTGAAGGTGGGCAGGTCGAGCACCTGGCTCTCCGGACTGTGTACGTCCGGCGCACCCGACCGCTCCTCGTACACCTTGTACAGGTTCTCCGTCATCTCACGCAGACGGCGGTCGTTCTTACGGAGACCGGTCTCCCGCAGCGCCTGGGGGGAGCGGTCCGGTCAGCTCAGGTCAGGTCAGCTCAGGGGATTTAGTATGTGTCGCTGCATACCCTTGATGGAAACGGTGCAATTTTCAAAATAAAGTAATATTTCAAAGCTTCTTAGATTCTTATATTATAAGACAATCTGAAAATGTCGATGCAAAGAGGAACTCAAAATGTCCTGAACTTACAATATTACAAGACACAGGACATCACATACAAATGTACCGGCCCAGCTAAACTTACGGCTAGAAACTTGCCAATCTGAATGGTCTTCCCGTCTCTGGAGAACATGTAGAAAATGCTGTCCTCCAGCATATCAAACGCCTGGCGCTGCTCGGCCGGGCTGAAAAAGAAATAAATTAATTCCAACATTTGATTTCAAACTGTGCTCGATTCGTATTCGTACAGGAACAGGGAGCCATATTGAAGACAAAATTTTCCCCGCTGTCATGTCTGGCGGCCTGAATAAATACCCGGTGACCCCTCTGACACAGGGTGACAGGAGCCATGTCTGACGGCCAGGCCCCTCTGACACAAACGGAGCCGTGCCAGGGGAAGTGTCAGCGCCGCGTGCCAGCCACAGGCCAAGGTCACAGCTGAGGGCGCCGGTCCCAAGAACGTGCGGAACCCCGATTAAATCACAACCCGACCGCGGGGGCTGCGTCGGTGCGTCTATTTGCTATGGCAGTTGGTCAAGGCTGTCTAACAGTATCGGATAATAGATGACGATAAAATGATATTCTTCCGGAAATAAGAAGCTTTATCCGACCCCCTCGTAAGAATAGGAAAATGAATGTTCCGATTTTGTTTTAAAAAACGTAATATATTACTGATGAAGGACGGTTATATAACCAGTGCGTTCGATGAAATGAGGAACATATACTAGAAAATAAGCTGAAAACGCTTCGTTACAAGTCCTCCAAGATATCTTTCTCTCATTTCATTGACTAAAGAATGTCCAATAGCAACAGTTCCACTGCTCGGCACCTACCTTTTCTTATCGATGTCATCGTCGATCTGCTCGGCATCAGTGAACACCTGCGACTTCCACGATCCCTGAGCGCCCTCCGAGGACAGCCGCTGCCCCGGCGGGGGAGTCGACGATCTGTCCTGGAACGGAGCAGACCAGCCCGGTGAACTGCGGGAACACAACAGGTAAAAAAGGCAAGGCAAAAAAAAAAAAATGCTGGGGTCGATGAGGCGTACTGCAGAGAAGTCAAATCGAAAACTGACAAAATATTAAACTATGGAAAAACGGTAGAGGCGGTCCACTTCCTCGCTAGTGCCGAGATAATGCGAATGTTTATTTAGGTGGCAGCACATGGTCGTCTACGCCACGTCTACGCTTTACCGCAATGATGTTATCCCCCATCTGCTTTATCTTGTACCATAAACCAGATAAAAACGAATAAATGTTCAAATATGTATAATATTCAGAGAGCGACAGACGCCGCATGTTGCTCTTGGAGACCTGACTGTTGGCCCGCCTCGGCTGGCCGATCCTCCATAACCGCGCCGGTCGCACGGCTCGTATAGTGTCATGCGGCACAGCATGCCTCCAGGCGTTACCACTAGCGACATCTATGATGACTATTGTAAGCTGCCCGGGCGCCGGACGGGGAGTGGCTCCAGGCATCCGGTAGCCGGCAAGAAATACAAAATTTGGCCAGCCAGCAATGGCCGGCCGTTTATACCTATCGACCACTGATATGCCGGCAGCCGATACAAAACGAATTCAGCAAAGGATCTTCAGTTTCTTCACCACATCACTTTTTGTCGTTTGTAATTTGGCATCCTGCCGCCACCGCTCGCGGCCCTCGGGTTCGGAACCTCTGACCGGCCTATTTTCGCTGCTGTTCTGTGGCGCTAATCGCCGCCTCTGGCCATGTGCGGATGACAGCGGTGGCGGCCGGGGGCCAACTGAGCGCCGCTCGTCCCAACAGCTGTGAGCTCCAGCCCGGTCCTGCTCGACTCGCGACCTTCCCACTGAACCGACAGGAGAGTGTCACGGCTCAGTCGGGTCTTAAGCGGTACAGACGGAGCGGCGGCACACCAATGTCTTACTAGACTGTGCCACAGACAACAACAGAGATGGTTATTGAATTGGTTCTTTAGCGCGACGGGAGGCGATCGCAAATATGGCTGTACTGGGAATATCGTGAATGGGTGGAGTACAGTCACGCGGTAAAATAGAGCCGGATATTAGCTATCTAACCGGCGGTACCTGTTAATGCAAATCCATTCGTCGGCGCGGTGCCCCCAAAGCATTACGGGAATGGACCGTGGAAGGCAGCCTCTGTGATGGATGGTTGGCGCCATGAGCGATTAACGGTGGAAAGTTCCGACATCCAACCAAATGGTGGCTGAAAGATCCGTGTTCGATCAAAGTTCCGACATGACAGCCAGGTGATGCATGTCGCATGATGAAATATAACGTGCAAACGAAAGCCATTCGAAAGAGCTGTTAGGTACAGTCACCAGCACTTGCTACTAATCACCTCGTTTTTGTTCAGTAGTTTGAAGACCGATCAACTGTCAGTCGCGCAAGATACGTCAAACGATCCGTTTGGTCCTCCGATTTTCGAATATCTAACTTGTTTTTGTATATTCGAAGCATTTTGGGATGGGGAGCCAAAAAACCTCTTTTCTGCCCTAAAGTGTGCCCCAAGAAGTCGTAGAACCTAGCCCCGCCTCTGATCCACAGACCACTAGTGCCATCTCTTGTCAGCCGAACAAGCCGCAGAAGTAAATAATGTCACGTGACCTTTGCACACGCTACAATTACTACGCAGCTGTAGTGGGGGAAGCGGGGCGGAGGCGTGGAGAGGGACGCGATCGGTCGGCTGGGGTCAGGTCGCCGAGGTCAGAGGTCATCCGCCGGAGGGTGTTTGAGCGGTTGGGCCGTGTGGGCTGGGGCCTGCGGAGTGGGGAGCGCCTGGACCTGTCTTGAAACAAGTCCTACAACGCTGTGACAGTCGAGAATATTGTGAGGAAAGAGAGAGAGAGAGAGGGAGATGGAGAGGGAGAGAGGGAAAGAGAGAGAGAGGAGAGAGAGGGAGAGAGAAAGAGAAAGAAAGAGAGAGGAAGAGAGAGAGAGAGAGAGGGAGAGAGAGGAATAGAGAGAGAGAAAGAGAGAGGGAGAGCGAAGAGAGAGAGAGAGAGCGAGAGCGAGAGCGAGAGAGAGAGAGCGAGAGAGAGAGAGCGAGAGAGAGAGAGAGAGCGAGAGAGAGAGAGAGCGAGAGAGAGAGAGAGCGAGAGAGAGAGAGAGAGAGAGAGGGAGAGAGAGAGAGAGAGAGAGAGAGAGAGAGAGAGAGAGAGAGAGAGAGAGAGAGAGAGAGAGAGAGAGAGAGAGAGAGAGAGAGAGAGAGAGAGAGAGAGAGAGAGAGAGAGAGAGAGAGAGAGAGAGAGAGAGAGAGAGAGAGAGAGAGAGAGAGAGAGAGCTAAGAAAGACTGGAGGGAAGGGATAAGGACGGGAGGAGGGAAAAGAGAGAGAGAAAAAAAAAACTGAAAAGGAAAACCAGAGAGGGTAAAATGAGAAAGAGGGCAATGGGTAAATCAGTGAGAGGGAGCGAGAGAGGAAATATTTAGTTGTGTCAGCTTGTTTCACATGTAAAATGCAAATTTGCTTTCCATCATTACAGCTTCGGATTGGAAATTAAATCTTAGCATCCTTGTGATAAACCCACGTTGACGGGATGCAGTAGCGGCGGAACACCTTCAATTAAGGGGGGGGGGGCACTGCCGACTTTTGGTCCTATTATTTCCATGCAACGCTCATTGGGCTAATGTTGAAATGCCAAAATCAAAGGGGTACGGTGCCCCGGTGCCCTCCCCGTTCCGCCGCCTATGACGGGATGGGGACGCTTTTATGGTCGTCGTTGGGAGCTCGGCACTAATGGGGTCTGGGGATGATGTTGAAGGTTTCGCAAATGTTTCATAAAAGATGCTACTTTTTTGCACAACCTATTAAACATTTTTTTACGTTTGCTATGAAAATGTTAGGCCCAGTTCCTTCAAGATCAGGTCCACGACTCCACAGCTTACAACAGGAGCTAGCTAACATAACAATTAACCCGCGCCGCCGTGTTGGTGGCATTAACTTTCCATCGAGTGCTGGGGTGGGGGGGGGGGGAGCGTTTTTTGCCCCTCCGTCTCGTTATGCGCCAAACTCCATATAGAAGCGGACATTGGGGTTCAGATTGTTATTATGAGTAAAATATAAGTCATTTTCTTCATTAAACGGTTGTTTCTCTATGCGGCGATCATTTATGAAGCACGCCACACTTAGTTACCAACGAGCGATATCATAATAGCTCCATTTTTGGCAGTATACTGGCTGCGGCCGAGTGCGACGGTGGCGCCGACTATCGGCTACTCGTGCAACTAGGCCTCGCGGTGGCTCCGGCGGCCAAACTTCAGATGAAAACGTCCCTGTGTGGAGACTTAACGATAAACTGAAAAATGCGATATAATGCAATTAAATTCAGTAATATGCGTTTACACTGACGTATTTTTTACCAATATTCGGGGAGAATTGGCACCGGGATTTGGCAGGAGAAGATAAAATGTTTATGAACATTCCAAATTGTATTATACCTACATTGCATTGTCAAAATATGTCTCAATATATGCGAGACGTCATGCTGTTTGCCGTAGTATAGCCAAATTGTTTCATGAAAGACTCAATACAAATATAACGGGAGTGATGTATCTTAATTTCATTTGGTGGTGCAAATATTTTTCTCTTCCATGCCCAGATCCCAGGTCCAATTTTTATCCGTCATGGATAACAAATACATAGATATGTTGCTCAGATAGCGAACTACAACGTAGTATAGCGACATTTTTATGTAACTTCCCTATTTTCTCACACTGTGCTCATTTCCACGAAAATCCGTGCTTACACTGACCAACATTTTTGTCTTCCATGGCCAGATCCCGGGTCCAATTTTTATCCGCCATGGATAAAAAATACATAAATATGTCGCTCAGATGGTGAACTATACCGTAGTATAGCGACATTTTCATGTAACTTTCCTATTTTTTCACACTGCGCTATCACCCATCAAAATCCGTGCTCTCACCGACCTTAGTTCTCTGGCGTTGCCGATAGGCGGCGCTGGCGTCGCGTCCCGCGCTATGGCCGCGCCTGGCGCATAACGTAACTCGGCTCCTGGGCCACGTAGCGACACGCGGTAAGCGACAATCGAAAGAGCGTCAAAAATAAGGAGGACAACACTCGGTCATTTTAAGGTCAGGGCAAAGGTCAGGTCACCAGGGTTCATCAAAGGTCAAATTTTGTTGATTTCAACGATTTCGAACACCCGACGGCTAACTCGGGAACCAATAGAGCTACAGCGCCGCGGAAAAGCGCATTCGATAGCTCTTTTAACGTTTTTTCGCCAACATGTCCTTAAATGACCTCAGGGGCACACACAGGGGTCACAGGTGCAATTTTCTGATTCAGTGTGTCATGTTTACCTACCTATGGACCGATGTTTGAGAGGGTGTAGAACGAAATTCGTCCAAAAGAGGCGCATTTCAATTTTCTCCCATTGACTTATACCTAATGGAGCAGTCGCAAAACTGACCTGACCTTAGGCCACAGACATAAAAAATCCGAGGTATCCATTTTATACATACTGTTACCCTAAGCAAGCACTGAAAGTTTTAAAGTGATCGCTCAGTCGGTGTAGCTACAACGAGCTTCCGAATTTTTTTCTGAGGTAAGGTCACTTGACGTTACCTGGTGACCTGACCTTGAATGACGCTACGCGTCGCGTCGCCGTTTTTTGAGATATTCGCGAAAAACCTGAGGGGGAAGGGCGTAAAAATGCTCCCCTCCCCCCCAGCACGGCGCGGGTGGTCGACATAGCGACTCGGACTGAACAAATGCCTTTAATTAACGTTTCAACGGCTGAATAAGGTGAGAGGATTGAGGTAGGCTTGTATCGGATTTTCTTCTGCTTGTCGGCAGTTTATAGGTTGAGCGCGAGCTGTCCATAATCATTCAAGAGGGAAAACTCAGCTGCACATCGTTCGGGCCAAAGTAATACCAAACATTCTCAAATTTTGAAGTAAAGAGCCAGTAGTCTACGAATATATTCAAA